CACTGGCTAGAGGGCTCTGGGTACGGTACCATCTCCTCAAAATACGAAATGTGCTAAAATATACCATGAACCCACCACCCCCCGCGCACACCCAAAAGGTCCAGGGGGTGGGGCATATATCTCATGAGAATTTCCAGGGCTCACCGCGCCTCGTTTTCCTTTGCTTCCCACCCACATCGAGCAGCTTAAACCTGAGCCACAGTGACATCCTGACCATCTACGACGGAGATGACCTCAGCACTCACATCTTGGGACAGTACCTGGGCAGCAGCGGGCCTCAGAAGCTCTATTCCTCCACTCCGGATTTGACCGTCCAGTTCCACTCTGACCCAGCAGGGCTTGTTTTTGGAAAAGGCCAGGGCTTCATCATGAGCTACATCGGTGGGTGCGCTCGGGGTGGGGGCCCTGGTCCTCCCCTCCCTCCATCCCCTCCCGCTTGGAGAAAGATTCCTCTGGTGCAGGACAGAAACACAGGAGACAATAGTTTCACAATTCAACAGGAAGGATTAGAAGGCTGTCAAATGTTCTCTTGGCAGAGATACAGTCCTTTAAAACTGCCACGTCTGCACCATCAAAAGGCAAACAAAGCAATGTATTTCTTCCTTATGATTGGTCACCTTTTTTTTAAAAAAAAGCACTATCTGATATGCAACTTCTAGCAAGGAAGGAAATAATAACATAGCATAATCAGATGTCCTTGACTGTTTAAGCCAGCACCGCTTCTAATTGCAAAGCTGTCCCTCTTCTCTATTGCGGCCCTGAATTTAGAAATGGCAAAGAACTACAGCTGATCTAGATGCCTTACCACAGGGCCTGTGGAATTTGCCTTTCCCAATTTCCAGGATTGATTGCACTGCTTATGCCTCCCCATTGATTGAGGTGAATGTAGCTCGGGGGGGTGGGGGCGGGAAGGGGGGGCTTTCCTGAGCTACCTCTTCCATATTTGGATTGGACATTCTAGGGGTTTGTTCTATACCCCCCCCAAAGGCCACCGTCTGTGGTTCTGTGGCAGCTCTCAGAGGTGTCTCCACGTTCCTTGTGTCTCTAATGATAACGTCCTCCCTGCCTGCAGAGGTCTTGCGCAACGACTCCTGCCCGGATCTGCCCGAAATCCAGAACGGCTGGAAGACGACCTCTCACACGGAGCTCGTCCGAGAGGCCAAGATCACCTACCAGTGTGATCCCGGCTACGACATTGTCGGCAGCGAAACCCTCACCTGCCAGTGGGACCTCACCTGGAGCAGCGACCCGCCCTTCTGTGAGAAAAGTACGGGCCCCGCAGGGCTGGCAGTCACGGGAAGGGTGCCGGCCGGTCCCCCTCTGCTCTTTTGGGGTACTCTGAGTTGAAAGAGAGGCTGCAGCCTGATATCCCCAGCAAGAGGTGGTCCAAAGGAATTAAGCAGCCCCGGCTTTTTTTTGTCTCTCCCTCTCTCTCAGCTGACCCAGAAAACCCCCACCGGCTCCTTTTTAATATGTCTGGATGCCTAGAGAAAGGCACAGGAGCACGGCTAAGGAAAGCATGTGGCCACCCGAGGCTGTACTGAAACACCATCTGGCCAGAGCCCAGCAGAATGAATTACTCCTTTGAATAACAACCTCCACTCCCAAATCCCCCCAAGCGGGCAGGTTCCTCCTGCAACCCTCCTGTCAGATTCCAATGCCTTCCTGAGGACTAGAAGCAAAATTAGATGTTTCCAAATGAGATGAGATTGTGGGCAAGACAGACCAGGTTTCACAAAGGATGGCACAGGTGCCTGCAGCAGGGCTAGCGTGGGGTGGGGGGGAGCCCCTCGCCTTCCAGAGTTCAGGGTGGGTCCCTCCAGCTGCAGTCTTCCTATTTCAACGCCCGGCGTTCGGTGCCGGTTCCTCTCCTTCTGCCTCCGCCCCAGTTATGTACTGCACAGACCCCGGGGAAGTGGAGCACTCGACCCGCTTGATCTCCGACCTGGTGCTGCTCGTTGGGACCACGATCCAGTACACCTGCAACCCGGGCTTTGTGCTGGAAGGAAGCTCGCTGCTGACCTGCTACAGTCGGGAAACGGGGACACCCATCTGGACGTCGAGGTTGCCACGCTGCGTGCGTAAGTTCTGCTCCCCCCTCGGGGGAGGAGTGTGCGCATATCCACTCCCACTTCCTGTGGAAATGACGCACACCTGCCTGCTTGCCCGCCTGCTCAGACTACCACCATCCAGGAGAGAGAAACCTCAGAGGGAGAAGCCGGCCCTCCGGAGTTTCATTTCCCTAGAACTAGATGCACGTCTCCTGTTGGAGACGAGAACAATGGTTTTCGCGCACGTGCCCCTAAATCTGTGTCTGTTGCACACATAGAGGCCCTGGGGGGGGGGGGAGAAAAGGCCCTTTCAAAGCAAGGCGGGTGGAAGAAGCCCGTCATGGAGGAGGGGGCCTGCTAGGGCTAGTCAGGAGGCTCCAAAGGGACCCCCCCTCCCCCACAGACCCCAGCTTCTTCTGCAGCTGGTCAGGCTTGTTAAGAAAGAAAGAAAGAAAGAAAGAAAGAAAGAAAGAAAGAAAGAAAGAAAGAAAGAAAGAAAGAAAGAAAGAAAAAGAAAGAAAGAAAGAAAGAAAGAAAGAAAGAAAGAAAGAAAGAAAGAAAGAAAGAAAGAAAGAGAACCGTCACTTCCCTTGTATAGATTTAAAGTATCAAGAGATGTGCCAACCACAGTTGCAGGGTGGTGGGGTGCCTGAAAGCAGCTGGTCTTGGTGATGCCATTTGTGTGTGTGTGTGTGTGTGTATCGTTTGTTCCAGCCGAGGAATCCCTGGCCTGCGACAACCCGGGGCTGCCGGAGAACGGCTACCAGATCCTCTACAAGCGGCTCTACCTGCCGGGCGAATCGCTGACCTTCATGTGCTACGAGGGCTTTGAGCTGCTCGGGGAGGTCACCATCAAGTGCATTTTGGGCCAGCCGTCCCGGTGGAGCGGGCCCCTCCCCACTTGCAAAGGTAGCCTCAGCCTGGAGGGAGCGAAGGAGAGAGGTTGAGAGGGGACGGGGTGGGGTCGAGGGGGGGCCTCTCCCCCTACCCAGCTTCCCTGCCTCAGCCGACCCCCCAGCCTGACTCTCCCCCCTGCCCTTCTCTTCCAGTGAATCAAGACAGCTTTGAACACGCTCTGGAAGGTGAGCCGGGTCGGGACGGGGGCGTCTCTCCCTTCGGGTTCCCGCCGGTCTGTCGCATTTTGCCGACGGCCAAATCAAGGAAGGGAAGTCGCAGGTAATGGGGCTCCTTCTCTCTTTAGTAGCCGAAGCTGCTGCAGAAACCTCGCTGGAAGGGGGCAACATGGCCTTGGCGATTTTCATCCCAGTTCTGGTGGTCTCCTTGCTCCTCGGAGGAGCCTACGTCTACATCACAAGGTAGGTGGGAAAGACAGCGATGGGGTGTGTGTGTGTGTGATCTCTCCCTCCCAACCCCTGGCCCAGGACAGCAGAGGAAAGAGGGGGCAGGATCTGGCCCTCCTTAGGGCCCAGCCAAGAGACCCCAGGCTTTATAGGGGCATGCACCCTTCCCTACACTGTGTGTGTGTGTGTGGGGGGGGGGCTTTCAAGCTTTGCTAACTCTTAGGTACTGTCAGGAATAGGGGTTTACTGGGACGGTCTGTCGGCTTTTCTCCAGGATCCTTGACCTCTGCCTGTGGGCCAAGCCTCCGGCAGGGATGTTGTGTGGATGCCTCTCTTTGGGGCAAGGGGGGGCACAGGACGATGGGCTGTGTTGTTGCTGCCCTGGGGATGCTTTCCATTTCTATAGTTCTTGCAGCCGAACAAAAGCAGCAAAAGTGTCATTTTGGGGTGGGGTGGGGGAAGCTCACAGTCAGGCTGGGAAGAGGAAGGGGGGGCTGCCCAGTGGATTCCTTCTGCAGCTGGAACCTGGGAATTGACATCTCACTCTCTCTCTCTCTCCCTCCCCCCATTTGGCGCAGGTGTCGGTACTACTCCAGCCTGAGCCTTCCCCTCATCTACTCCCACCCGTACAGTCAGATCACGGTGGAGACCGAGTTTGACAACCCCATTTATGAAACCGGGGTGAGTGGCCTCTTTTTCCTCCCTCAAAAGGGATGCCTTGATTTGGTTCCGCTCCAGATACGGATCTGGCCACCCAGTCTCCATTCCCACGTGGTCTTCACAAGCGAGAAATGATGGCCGTTGCCTGACCGATGGGCCCCATGCAGGACCCCTCCCATGGAGGGAAAAGGACAGACACACACGCATGCGTCATGCGTGTGCACACATGCACACACACACCCACACACACACACACACGCACACACACACACACACACACACACACACACACACACACACACACACACACACACACACACTGCCCTCTCCCAAGCCTGGCTGATCTTAGCCCTTACTCACACAGCTTGACGCCCTTCTTCCCACCCCGGCTGGTTTCTGAGGATTTGCTCCTGACCTAGAAAGGCTTTGTGGGAGAAGTGGGCAAGGGAAACAGACTACAAGATCCAGCACTCCATAGCCCATACTGCACTGGCTGGCTGGCTGGGGGATTCCGGGAGGTATTGTCCAAAAATATTTCCAAAGATTTGAATTTGTCTAACTGGGTTTCCTAGTTTAAAAAGCGAAAACGCCTCCCTTTCAGAGCAAAGGCCACCCCCCTGACCAGGGAGCCTTTTTCTTTTCCTAGGAAACGCGTGAGTACGAAGTGTCGATATAAGGCCGGCCACGCGTGGGACTGACGCTCTCCAGGCGCCGCCGTCTCAATTTCTCCTCCCAGACCTTCTTCAAGTGATCCAGTCCGGGCCCCTCCGTGGCCGAGGTCGGCTGAGCGCCTGCGGCTCCTTCCCTTTCGCTTTCGGCCGGAGATGCCGCCTTCCTCTCCCCCATCGTGAAACTCTGCTCCGGTGGTGCTCCAAAATTCCCCCCCCCCCCCCGGAGGCTCGGGGNNGCTGGCCTCGGAGCCACGCCTGGCTCGACCAGGCCACCTTACTTTGTGCGTGCGGTTGTGTGAAACAAGGGACACTGTGGCTTGTTCATGTTTGGTTTTCTTATTCTTAGTTTCTCCCCCCCCCCAAAAAAAACAAAAGGTGACTGGGAAATGGTGCTGCCGCCCTGGCAGGAGGGAACCTTTTTCTTCTGGCTGAGGAAGAGGAGGCGTGGGGCAAGACCCCCCCCCCTTAAAATGACCCCTGACAGGGGGGGAGCACCTCTCTCTTGGCTGCTGCAGCCTTCCCGAGGACTTGGGGTTCAGTTCTGCTCCCCTCGAAGCCAAGGAAGGGAAAGGGGTGCCAACCTGTGGGGAAGCTTGGAGGGTCATCGGAAAGTTCACAGATCTGGAGGTTAGGGGTCGCAGGAGGCAGCGGAGAGAGGGAAGGGGCTGGGGCCGGCCGTCCCTTGTGTGCATCGTTTGTGTTGTCATCATTGTCTCTGATCATAGATGTGAAACTGTGTGGGTTTTGACTGGTTTGGAAAAATGTGGAAAAATAAGGTTTTTGGAAGATGGAGATCGGGCCGCATCTCCTGGTTACTAACTCTCCGGTGGCCTTAGTGGTTCCAGATCACATGGGGGGGGCATTCCCGACCAGAAGCTTTGTAGGGGATCGCAGCAGGAACACACACACGCCCCCCCCCAGGTGGGTGGCTTGGGGAAGGTTTGAGTGCTTGGTTGGTCTGCTGAGGGGAGAGCAGCCGAGTCTAGCCTCTCAACTCGAAGGGGAAGGAAGGAAGGAAGGAAGGAAGGAAGGGAGGAAGGAAGGAAGGAAGGAAGGAAGGATACAAGAGCAGGCTGGCTGTGGGCTCCCTGGCCCTTTTCACTTCTCCGAGGAGGGAGTGAGAGTCCCAAGACCCTGTGCATTACTCTGGGTCATGAGTGGGAGACCTTGTCCCTAAAGTCTTTCGGGTCAAGCCTTGCACCCTCGTCTCTGCCGATCAAAAAGTCTGTGTGTGTGTTTGTGTGTGCATGTGTGCATGTGTGTGTGTGTGTGTGAAGAGCTGCCCTGGTGCCACAAAGGTCTTTTGGGTCACGAATACAAAGCCGCTTGGAACCCCCTCGTGCATGACTCACCGACCTGGACAGGTGCCCCGGTCTAGGGGCCTCTTCCCTCTTCCCTCTTCAGCCCACGGAAAGGCCTGCTCTCCCGACCTTCTCTGCTCCTGGGATGCAAAGGCCCTGAAAAAAACACACACACACACACAGAGGGAGAAACAGGGGGAAAAGGAAGCCCACCTCCACCATCCCAACGGCTCCACAGGAGGACGAAGACTCCAGAAGAATGCTCTCTGTGTGTGTGTCTCTCGTGGAAAAGTCCCTCCCCTGCCCCCACCAATCTGGTGCCCCCCCCAATTCCTGTTGTGTGGATAATGTGGAAGTGTGGATTAGTGGTTGCCCAGGCGCCCTGTTCCTGTCTTTGTAAAACAGAAACAAAAACGAAAACAAACAAAAAAATTGTATCTGTGAGAAAATTGTAACCATGACAATGTTTTCTAAACCTCCGTTTTAGCTTAGCATCTCTGCCATTGTCAAGAGGGAGGCGTTGGGGGCTGTTTATGGGTTTTTCTCCTTTTAAGAAAAGGGACGTCATTGGGTGGGGAAGTCTTTGTCCTTTGCGAGAGGGAGGGGAA